AGAGTGACGGTCTGAAATGCATTGCAGGGAGTCAGTGGATGCAGGTGGCTCAGGACCGTTCTTTATACCAGTCTATGGGGGAGGCCTATGTCCAGCAGTGGACGGGTAATGGCTGGAATGATGATGATGAAATGCTCCTAAATAAACAGGCTATCAAGTTGCACAACAACAATTTTCTTTTAAGAACAATCATATAAATAATGAGTGGCAACCCTAATGGACTTTGCAAAACTTCGCAAGCTATTATACTTGCAAAGTGATTGTACATGACAGCCACCAGCGCTGCCTGAATGCAATTATTAGCTTTATATTCAATATGCGCTCACTGTACCAGGGATTTTAATGTACATGCTAAAAGTTCAGGCTCTGGGTTTTTATTTTTTGATGGGTGAAAATGTTATGGTAACCCCGCCTGCGCTAACGGGATACGCTGGCGGAGCACCAGTGAAGGGTGATAGATGAGAATGAAAACAGGCCAGTTAGCCCATCATGATGAATTCATCAGGAATTAACCATGATAGTTTCCAGGGGGAACCGCGAGGAGGTCGACCTGGTTGGGTATATTGCTAGTAATGGGAATTTCAGTCTCCATTACTAACAATCCCTTTCCTCTGTCTACAGGCTCTGGATTTGATTCGAGATTTCTTCTAAGACTTGAATACTCAATTGACTGTTATGTAAATGTAACCGCTTACAATATAGTGGGCTTTATTCTTTTTTAGAGTTCCGTACTTCCAACGGAACCCTTATAGGATCATTTCTTTGTCCGCCTGTCAATACCCTTTTTCTAAGGAACGCGTGGAGGTATCAAGTTGAAATTAATATCATTCACTCAGCGCTGCAATCTCTTAAAGCAGTGAATAAATCAAGCTTCTAAATCGACGCAATCAAAAGACACGGCCGTTTATGTTCCATTTATATCGCATATTTTGACATTCGCAAAGGGAATCAAAACCTATAGGGTACTTCCCGTTGAGCTAGAATCATGAATTTTAGCAAGAATCAATGTCATGTAAAGGAAAAAAATATATATTTAAAATTAATTTACTATTGTATTTTTTTTGGAGGAAACAATATCTAAATATATAATTTATATAATATATAAAAATATCTATCTATCTAGTACAATATACAATAAATATAATGTGATTAGTTATGTATAAACTTAAGTTCATCTTAAGTTCAACCCGCCATAAACTAAAATTTCATCCCAACCATCTGGACAAGTGGCGGTCCTCCACCGTGCGTTTTTCAAGGCACTTTCTCCCACGCACAACCACTCTTTGGAATCAACTTCCAGCAGCAGTATTTCCGAACCGATACGACAACATAACCTTCAAGAAAAGAGCATATTCCTTTTTAAAAGGCCGGCAGCACACCTGCAATGCCGTAGGTGTTGTGGGTGACCATGGGCGGCGGTAGTCACTTACCATCAGGTGAGCCGCATGCTCGTTTGCCCCCTGTGTTGTAAAAAAAAAAAAAAGTTCTTTTATTTGTAAATTGTCCCAATATTGTACACCGCTCTACCCGCTGACATTGATGTTCCTTTCCACTTTGGGTGTTGCTGGAAGAGAACTCTTGTAGATTTAAGCTCGCCTTTGTACATTTGATTACCTCTGTCATATTTTTATGTATAACTAGTGGTCCGTCCCGACGTCGCGCGGGTGGACATTTTTACATTTTAAAAAGTGGCCATTAAGGCCCCACACGCGACGGAAGCTTAAAAATGGAGTAACTTCTCCCGTTTTCCCAACATTTCCCTTCACTGCTCTGCTCCTATTGATTGTAGCGTGATTAAAAGTATACTATAACCTGCCCGGGAGTATGAAGAATAATTGTACCAAGTTTCGTTAAAATCCGTCGAGTAGTTTTTGTTTCTATAACGAACATACAGACAGACAGACAGACACAAAAATTTTACTGATTGCATTTTTGGCATCAGTATCGATCACTAATCACCCCCTGATAGTTATTTTGGAAATATATTTCATGTACAGAATTGACCTCTCTACAGATTTATTATAAGTATAGATTAGTGTGTACAATAAAGTATTAAATAAATAAATATTTACAAAAATAAAAAGCTATTTGTACTTCAAGGGATATTTCAGAAAAAAATAAAAATTGTCAATTTTTTCCCCACATAAAAAAGCATCGTGTTGATGCCATAAATATTAATTTAGTTTCTTTTGAAGTCGCTGTGTTTTTTTTTCTGCGGAGTCAAATATTAAAATATAATTAAGTTTACCTCACACTAGAGCTGGTAAATTGAACGGTTTCATACACACATTATATCCTGCTCCGATCAGGAATCAGGAGAAAAAGGATCCCTTTCATAGTAAAATAGAAGAAGAATAGAATAGAAAATCATTTATTCAAATAAACTTACATTGAAGCACTTTTGAATAGTCATTACATTTTTTTTAATCTACCGCTCGTTCGGAAAGCTGTCTCATCACAAGAAGAACGAGCAAGAAACTTGCGTGTTGCTCTTTTAAATAATTTTATTATTACTTTATTTTTAAGGTTAATTGTGTGAATACAAACCACCAATTAGCACTAATTCAATTAAATACTCAAAAAGAAAAAAATATTGAATACATAACCAACTGGTTAAACAATTAATAAGAGGAAATCAGTCATAGTGATTAGAGCAGACCAGTCCCTACAAGCAGCACCCGTTCACGAGTATGACGGATGAGCCAGCCATCACTGCGCTCGACCATATTTTAGGGAGCCCAATGACCCGGCCCACCACGCCGCCACAAGTCTGGACATTTTAGTGAGCATGACTACTCAAAACACTAGACCACGTCAAAGCTACTCACAATTGCCATCTGATAGTTATAGTATTCACATTTTACATAAGAATGCATGCGGCAATTAATACAAAAACCGCTACGCTTTCGCTCTTTACGCTAATAAAAAAAAAATCAATATTTCCCATAATATTTTTTTTTAAATAATATTTTCATATATATATATATATATTACTTTGGTCAACGCATTTCCATTGCTATGCAGCGTGAAAATGCAGCAAGTATCCTAGGCACCTTACCAGCTGGCAGTGATCTTAAGAAAATTTTTTTATCTTTACATAATTTTTAAAATTTTTAATTACTTTTCTTGTTATTTATAGCACATATTTTCAAAAATTTTCATGTTATCTACACGTAAATATCAAAAACTATAATTTATAAAAATGGTAGATTTAGTAGTAATAAACTCTTTATTGCGCACAGTAGAGATGTATACAAGGAGTATTTATACAGAATGTGCATATACAAAAGGCGGCCTTATCGCTAGAAGCAATCTCTCACAGACCACCTAGATTTACCAACTTTTACTCCCGACTTCGTCTCTGTAACAGAGATATGTTTATTGACCGGGACATAAAAAGTAGCCTATGCTCTTTTCTATTTTTTTTCATGCAACTTAGAATGGCAAAAAGCTGACCGCCCACCTGATGGAAAGTGGTAACTGTCGCCTATAGACATGAGAAGTACCATGGACATAACAGATTATACTGTTTCGCTTAAGACACCCCCAATGCGTTACCCTTCCTGAGGTATCAGGTGTTATTCCTCTGTACCCTGTAAATTCACGCCATATCCCACCCTTCAAACCGAAACACAGCCATGCAAACACAACTGCTTTACGGTTGAAACACGAATGGGACAGAGGTACCCAAGCAAACGACTTTTATACAGTCTCCCTCTGGTAATTAAATTAATTAAAAATTATTCATATATATATTAAGTGATTGAAAGTTCGTTTTAAAATTAAACGAATGAATGAAAACTATTGTTCCCTTCGAAGCATGGTATAGATTAAAAAGATTAACAATATGTACATAAACAAAATGAATTCTTAAATACATAAACTTCATTACATAAAAACAAGATAAAGAGGCAACAATGGACGGCGTTATCGCTAAATAGGGATCTCTTCCAAGCAACATTAGCATGGAAAGGAATAATTAAAATTGTGTCTGGTCAAGGCATAACAGAAAAATAATAAGACAAAAAGGAAAGGAAAAGAGGGCTAAAGATCAATTGTATAATTACTTAATTATTATAGGAACATGGTTTTCGTATATTAGTTATATATTCCAACCATCTGGATGAGTGGCGGTCTTAAATCGTGCGTTTTTCAAGGCACTTTCTTCCACGCACAACCATTCTTTGTAAGTTCCAGCAGCAGTATTTCCGAACCGATACGACAACATAACCTTCAAGAAAAGAGTATATTCCTTTTTAAAAGGCCGGCATCATTCTTGCAATGCCGTTGGTGTTGCGGGTGATCATGGGCAGCGGTCGTTTGCCCCCTGTGTTGTATAAAATATATATATATATATATATATATATATATATATATATATATATATATATATATATATATATATATTTCCAAAGATCTTCATGTTATCTACTATTAAGATTTATGTAGTATTTTTACTATGTAATAAATACTTATCGGATATGTTAGGCTTTTATTTCCGTACCAAAATTTCTTTTAAAAGTACTACCCGTCATGACGTAAGAGACTGCGTCACGTAAAGGTTATATATATGTATAACTTATACATATATAATCTGTGGTCCAGTTAATTATGAAGTTATATAATGGTTTAGTATTACATTTTAAGACTTTGTTCATTAAAGTTCTTATATACTTTTATTATAGACGATTTATCGTAAAATAATTAAGTTAGTCTTTTGATAGTTATGCGCCTTGAATTTGGACTTGTCACGACTATAAGCAATAAACACATTTTTGACAGCTAGACACCATTCACAAATCGTGAAACGTACCGTGAACCATCTCGGCGTGTAAGCACTCCGAGATGGTACGCGGAACCTAGTTATATTCATCCCGGGCAGATCGATGCGACGGGGAGTATCTGGTTTTTTCGGACACTATACCAACTGGGAGGGGTGAACGAACCCCGTTATGTAAGCCCCGGTCGATAGCGGCACGCACGCGCGCACCCCCGGCACTCGAACAACCCCCGACATAACGCTCGCGCGCGCGACCGCAGCGGACGTATCGTGGTTTTCTTTTACCGCGTTTTTCGTTTCCCTTTCGTTCTTTCCGTTTATGATTTAAGCCGCCACCATGTCGAAAGGCGACGGTGAACAGCAAAATGGATCGGGCGAGGAGTCCAAAACCAATCTTATCATCAACTACCTCCCGCAGAGCATGACGCAGGAGGAGATAAGGAGTCTGTTCTCGAGCATCGGCGAAGTGGAGTCTTGCAAGCTGATCAGGAACAAAGGTGCAGCGTTTCCGGACGCGCTCAACCACGCGCTCCACGGAGGCGGACAGAGTCTGGGATACGCGTTCGTGAATTATCACCGGCCGGAGGATGCGGAGAAGGCTATCGCCACACTCAATGGACTGCGGCTCCAGAACAAAACTATTAAAGTGTCGTACGCGCGGCCGAGCAGCGAAGCTATCAAAGGTGCGAATCTATACGTGTCCGGGCTACCGAAAACGATGACGCAAACCGAGTTGGAGCGGCTGTTCAGTCCATACGGACGGATCATCACGTCGCGGATTCTGTGCGAGAACTCCGGTGGGAGACCGTTCACGGGCGGTGAACAAGGTCTCTCCAAAGGAGTGGGCTTCATCCGCTTCGACCAGCGAGTGGAGGCGGAACGGGCAATCCAGGAGCTGAACGGGACGGTGCCTAAAGGTGCTACTGAGCCGATCACTGTGAAGTTCGCGAACAATCCGAGCAATAACGGAAAGGCGCTGGCGCCGCTGGCCGCGTACCTTCCGGCGGCGCTGCGCTTCCCGGCGCCCCTCGGCCGGTTTAGTTCAGGCAAGTCGTTATTAGCAATTAATAAGGGTCTGCAGCGTTACAGCCCGCTGGCGGGCGAGCTGCTCGGCGGCGTGCTGCCCGGCGCCGTCGGCTCTGAATGGTGCATTTTTGTATACAACCTCGCGCCGGAGACCGAAGAGAACGTACTGTGGCAACTCTTCGGGCCCTTTGGCGCCGTCCAGAGCGTCAAAGTCATAAGGGACCTTCAGACCAATAAATGCAAAGGTTACGGGTTCATAACGATGACTAACTACGACGAAGCGGTGGTCGCCATCCAGTCGCTGAACGGGTACACACTCGGGAACAGAGTGCTACAGGTCAGCTTCAAGACCAATAAGATCAAGACCATCTAAGGGGATCGTCGAGGATTCGGCCTAGCTGGACGATAGGACGGCACAGCAGGCGCGCACCCATACATACACACACACATACACACACTCGCAGCAGCGCCGGCCCCGAGCCGCGGTCGCCGGCGGCTGCGGCCTCTAATCGCACGACTTGGACCCGACGTGGAGTACGTCTTCCGGGCGCCACGCTCGCCCGCCGCCGCGCCGCTCCACGCCGCGGTGCGACAGCGGGACACGTTTTGTACATTTATTATAAACTAGCGAATGTTTTTGACTCGCTCAATGTGCGGCGGCCCTTTGTTCAGCGGCCATGTTCATTTACGCGTATCATAGTACACGGAATTGGGTTAAGTGTTTCGGGAAATCAAAATGGCGGAATCGCCACCGTCCCGCGGGCCCGGCGCGCATGTCCCAATGAAATGGCCGAAGCTGAATGAAAGGCCGCCCCGAGCATGCAATAATTTTAGATCAATGTACAGCATCAGATGCTAACGGCGTATGGTAACCCGGCCACCGCTGAACCATACATATTGGTCATAGTCAATAACAAAATAATGATATTAAACTTCGCTTATGAACGGTTGTGGTTATCGAGAAATAGTTTTCGGATATAATAATAATAAATACTTATTAGCAATAATAACATTATGCGATGCTATACTCCAATTTTATAAGCGACCATATCGTGTTAAGTACGAGTATAACATACGTGGTTAAGGAGATAATTGGACACAGATCAATAAATAATATGCCAAAATATATATCGAGGTATAGTCATCTCTGTCGCTCACGTCACGTCCGTATAGGTTAGCAAGACAAATGGCACACCAGCGGCGCGGCGCCTTCACATCCGCGCCCCATATAACGAAGTAAAATAGTGTTATATTGTTAAAAGATTGGAAGATATATATTATCTATACGTATATTTTAATCATATATTAAACTAATTAAGGATGAAACTAATCAAAAACTGTGATAGGTTTTGATAAAATTTTAGCAAAAAAAAAAAATAATCGGAAAGATCTGAGACATGAAGGGGTACGGTACCCCGAGGGTCGTCGACCGACGCCACTGATAGGTAGGTTAGTTTTTTGAGATAAATTTTGGAAGTAACGAAACTAGGATTCGCATTACGCTTATAGAAGAAGTTCGTGTCGGAAAATCACGGATTGGACACAGACCGGCGTTACATTTCGTGCGGAGAGGGGAAAATCGATCGAGGTGTTCTGGGCAACGTTCGTTGGGCGGGCGGGGGCAGGGGCGGCGTCAGGGTGGCTGGCGGGCCGCAGCCCCCGCCGCCCACCGGCTAGAGAGAGAGGGGCGACGTCGCTAGGCCGAAACCGATGTCACCCGAGTGGAGTGACGAGTGAGTGGAGTCCGTTCGCGGAACAATGGTGCATACTCTAGTCTAACGATATCGTTTCAAAAGTTAAATCGATGTCAAAACATATGATCGGTACCTGCTATAATAATATAATGTATGGATGCGACCCTGCGTCTATTCGAAGTAGGCTTTAATTGTCTTAGTCTAAATGGAAATTTGTAAATAGAAAAAAGTTGTTTAAAATAATAATAATAATAATAATAAATGATAACTGTATTCTCGCCGCGTCTGAATACACGCCACACCAAGATATCACCATTACCATAAAAACTTCGACCCGACAAAGACCTATTTATGAACATCGAACTTGAATAGATATAATATCGTGCCGTCCTAACGACCCTACGATTTTTGTAAAAAAAAATATATACTTAATATATGTAAAAACAGTTTTGTAACATTTCAGATATTAATAGGTACTCATTACATACCAAAGATGGAGATTAAAATTTACAAGTATTTATATATTTATTGTAAATGTAAAACGTGCAATAACTAATAGCCAGTAATTTAATAAAAATATATTAAACAAATGACTCGAAGAGACGTTGGTAGGCACTAGTCAGTGTATGTGGGTATATGCGCCACTGTTTGTTTACTATTTATTGTAAACTTTATTTATCCGCACTCGGGACGCGAGTGCCAACACATTACCATTCATTTTTAAATATTAAAAGAACAAAAAAAAAATACTAAAAAAAATTACTTTCGCTTTGTTTCATACAGCTTAATGCATTTCATTCCAGTTTAGTATTAATATGTTTTATTGTTAGGTATACTATTTATTAATTTAGACAAAATTGTGAGTTACCGTACTCCCGGAGGTCGCGCTGGACGTCGCGCGGACGTCCAGTGTGATCGTCGGGACAGTGATATGATGTGAACGTTTGATTTGGTCGTTTCAAATCGCCACTCTGTTGGTGTAATCGTGTCAAAATGAAATTCGAATCATGTATAACGGAGGGGCGTGCTGAAACGGCGGACGTATGATTAGTTTTAATAACAATGCGACGGTATGGTTGGCAAACAAACTGAGCGTGGAAAGCACAAGTTTTGCTAATCTACATTTAACGTAGTATTTCTTAGATTATATAATAGTTGTTGTGTTTTGTGTTATTTTGGACTCGGCATAAAAACTTGCAACTATTCACTAGTCGTTTGTACCATCGGTGGATATTTATTGATATTTGGTATATCGGAATAGTTGAGAGTATACAATGTTGATAAATTAATAACCTTATTGTATGATAATTTCGTGCATTCTTTGTTCCAGTGCTGTAGCCAGAGGAGAATTGGTAATAACAAAGTTTACACTTACACAGTTGGCTCAATATAGTTACATTTTAGAGAATTTCACATTGAATAAGTGTATTAATGTAAAGGGGCACACAAATGTCGGACGGGCCCTGGCTACGGCACTGTTCTGTTCATAGGTTAACTTATTAATTTACTATATGTGCAATTAATTGTATTTTTACTTATATTAATCTAGTAGGTGTGGTAACTTATTTAATATTTTTCATTCATTATAAATTCCGACTCGAAATTTTATGAGACGACCTAATTGATTTATTTATTAGGGAATTGTAACGGGCGATTAATCTTGGGATCTGAATTTCATACAATTAATCAACACGTTCATACAAATTATTTGTGCATTATGTACATTCGACCCTTATGGTTTCGATTCCTTTGAATTTTGTCGCATTTGTGAATGTAACTGTTGAATCGAAACATAAAACACCAAGTATTTACTGAGAACTCATCGACTTTTTAGATAATAATAATAATTAATATGAAAGTAAAAAAAGAGAAAATGCAAAAAATATTTTGGAGTGTTGTTAGAGTTAGGTATTGTTGTCACTGAGTGTTCGTTAGTAGAATGTTTTGTGCTTTCGCCCCTTCTGTCTGTGTGAACGTAATTAATAAAATATAATAATAGTGCTCAATAAATTAGTGGGCCTGGCCCTTTACTGTAATCACGAGAAGCAATAACGTTATTGTGAAATTTTAACCACGACATTAACGGACAGCTTAACTTTAATATTTTTATATGTATTTTAAAATATAATGTAATATTCATATCTTCATAGTTTATAAGTGGAGAATAGCAAAACGTTCTACTAATAGTAGGCGGCTCGCGTGGGTCCTGATAACTTTAGATTCAATCATACTATAACCATGCGTAAGTATATTTCGTAAAGATAAGACTACAAAAGTTAAATCTTCCAAGAAATGCTATATATTTCATTCGTTTATTTTCACACGTTATCATTTAAAACACGTTCATTGTTGTACTCTGAAGTTATCATAACTCAAAAATAACTACAAAACGCCGATAGCGTTATGAAAAACGGGATAACGTTAAAAAACGAACCCCAGTAAGTGGCAAGCGATAATAACACCTGTTATCAATAACATAACGGCTACTTTTTAAACGGTGTTTTGATGCATTTTTTATGAAATTAAAAATAATATTTAAAAAAAAAATAAAGGTAATTAATTGGCAACACAGAAACAATACTCTAAATACGCATAGGCTAATTGACAATGAGGCTGTGAAATTAGCAAAAATAAAAATAATAACACGTGACGATTGATCTTAATTATAAAGTTTAAACATTAAGGGGAATCACAGGACAAAGAAATGTTACAAAATCGACGCGTGCAATCAACTGTTTCAGCTCGTACCTAATATTTGTAGAAACTAAGGATAGCTTCTTCAAATTTACATATTATAGAAAAGTCTGAGACCTATCGCGCATCGTATATACTCCCACGGTTTCTTTGGCCTGTGATTGAAATCATGCAATCACGCGTACAAAAATGGTTAATGGCCCATATTTAATAAGTAAATCAATTGAAAATTCCGATGATATTGCGTGAACTTGACTGTCCAAAACTGATATCGGTGATAATAGTGCTGTACGATGGGAAAAAGCATGTAGCATTATCTAAGCAGTGTATAAGCGTAAGCGGCTTATGGTGTTAGGTGATAGGAATGGCCTTAGACTCGGGCACAAGCACAAACAAACACAGTGGCCGAGGCGTACGCAATTCCGATAGTTAAGACACAAATGAAGAAATGAAATCTTCCATAGGAAATAAAATACGTAAGTTAAACGTTCTGCACGTAAAAATATTTCAATTAAAAATAACAGCTAAATAACTGTGTCACAACGTTACATGTTGCCCAACTCTAGTCAAATGCTCAATAAACAATAGCAACGTATAGTGTTGTGACGCCGCGAACTGAACAATCAAGTTCAGCACATTGTTAGACATTAATCGATTGAAATATTTTTCACGCGACAGAAAACTCGAGACATCGACTAAATGTGTTACTATTACTTCATACGTCAAAATTCTATTAAAATAATAAACACAGGTACATTGCATAACGCCTACTCTTCGACGCTGCGACGGCTATTGTTGTAAAGTTATTGATTCTAATAATATAAAAAAATACATTTGCTCATCATGTACTTCCTCGTCTTTTGGAACCGTTTCTCTAGCGTAGCTGTTAGTGTCCTTCGATAATTTTATAATTCATAGCCAATCGCAGTAAGTTATCGCTTCCCTATAACACATGATCATCGTCACTATGGGGGAAAACGTACGGTGTTTTACATTAAATGTAAAACAGGCTGCTAGAGCTGAATCGACCGTTTATGAATGGTACGTAGCTTTCTTTAAGGAAGCGAACATTATGTTATGAACTCTAACACAGTACGTTTTCCCCCTAAATTATCATTATAGACAGTGAAAGACAGAATCCGGAGCGAGAGCTAGCAATTTAAGTAACTCCGACTACGGCTCGAATGCCAAAATAATATAAGCTTTATTTACAAGCGTATTAGCATCAAATTAGCTTGATACGGGTAAATAACAGATTGCAATAAATATGTAAATAATTATCAAACGGCATTGGTCCAGCTTCGGGTAAGCGAATTATGAATAAATAACCAAATAGTTTCGAATTTAAAGATAAATAAAAAAGTAATATCATGTAATATCAATTTCACTGTCTATTTATTAGATATTCGTTTTCGGTGTTGATTCCTCTATAACTGCGAGCACAAGAGTTGGTTCCCATTTCGTCGAGCGAGCAGCACACGACACGTATCTGGTTCTACTTTCATTCATTCACTCATATAGTAGGTATGTCTTACAATAAGAACTATAGTGTTGACACGCTGTCACTTGAGAGCGTGTGTCGTCGACACATCGCGCGCTATCGTGTGCGTCGCGCTGCAGGCCTAACTTTCAATGCGTAATGGGGACAAACGGGATCGTGCAGAGTAGCATGTGATACTCTTAGTACATAACTGTAGTCAATATTCATAATCCCATAGCGAAAAAGTCGAGATCAAGGAAAGTACGGACGGAACAGAACTTACTTTTCCTGGTCTTTGGATACATATAAAAACATAAATTCACCCCGACTTCCAACAGACTTGAGTGTAAGGATAGAAATAATTAGACAAAATGCATCGTAAGATAAATAAGAGTCTCAAAATAAAGTATTGAATAAGTATTTTACCAACTTCAACGTTAAGGTGTACTAGACAATGAAAGCAATGATATTTATAATTAAATGAGATTATGAAAAATCGGTCAGCCATTTTCCTCGTTCGTGCTAGCTGACTTCACTTTGATACAAATACGTATTTTATAAAATAAAAAAATTGAAAAAAAAAAAAGTTAAAACTAAGATCTTCCGGTAATTTAAAAATCAATGTTGAAGTTTCTTTTCATCTTTTTATGATTATTATAAAATTAAGAGGTAGGTGTCTGTCTGTGTTGGTCGTATTAACCGGTTTAGTTAATATTGTACCTAAGGGTTAGGTAT